AATGCAATTCTTTTATTTTGGTCGTTCCTGCTTCCAGACTTTATTAGAGAGGGGGAGGGGGGTTAATACGGACTACAGAAAATAATTTCAAGAGGGATACAGGCATTAGGAGAGGAGGTTGAATTTAAGAAATCTTTAGGGTTTTGATTCTCGGAGACGTGAGAAGCACTTATAGATCAGATTGGCAACAGATTAATTAGGTTATAAGTGGGGAACTTTGGTTCTTGGTCAAAAAAAGTCATTTGGAGATGATCTTGAGTGTAGATACATGTAACCTTTGATACCTTTAATATGGTCAGGTAGTAAATCACATCGATGCGTATACGTACACGTTGTAGATGATAAGGCTCCAGTACATATTTTGGAGAAGGGTGGTAAGGATGTAAAACTTTACAAAATTTTGAAGAACATTTTTATTTTTACAGAACAAAAAAAATGTGTAATTTGAGTCATTCCGTCAGGAGATAATCCTGTAAATTGGACTTCTAGGTCTTTTATCATTTCAGGATTGTCAGTTATCTTGGGTCAAGTAAGATTCAGTCGACGTAAGTCCCTCAACCAGTAGACTTGATCACCTATGTTGAATGACAGAGAGAAGTTAAGACAGATGAGAAGTTAAAGTGACAGTACGGCGCATCTCATAAAAAAACTGACTTGATAAAATTTTCCGACAAGATTTGGAATTTTTTTGCAACTCATAAATGTATAAACTTTCAGAAAATTACAACTTTCATAATGAAATTATTTTGATTATTTCATTAAAATTAATAATTATTTATGGGACGTAAATATATACATCGCAACGTGTTCGGGCTTCCACCTTCCATGCTATGCACGCATGCGTAGTTTTCATAAACAAAACAGCATGGTAAGAGAAGGAAGTCCTTAGAGCCCGCTACATTGACAAAGTCGACCAAAAAGCAAAAGAAACTGAAAATAAAGCTTGAAAAGGCAACTTTCCTGACTAAAATTTAGTTTGGGGATTAATATACTTGTTGGATGAGGAAGAAACAGCAACTCGGCGACACTCACGCAGGGCTCACGAAGGTTCTATTCGACAGGTTTGTTGATACTTGTTTTTCCATCTCTTTGAAATAAAAAATCAGTGTAAACTCAACATAAAAATACATTGTTGCCATTTTAAGTGCTATTTTTTTTAACTGTGCAGAAAAATATTTTGTTTGACATTTGCCGCGATAACGTATGATTTGGTGGTTTTTCCTTTCTCGGACCCCAATACACCAAACGTCAACATTAAAAGTTGTACTTTTAATTATGTTAAATTCGTCAGAACGCAGACTTACATCTCTACGATTATTATTTTATATTATTTTATCAGAAAGTTATGATAATTTGCTTTTGAGAATTGCTTTCACCTCATATTCATTATAATTTGTAAACACTACAGTGCAGGCACGTGCCGTTTTAGAATTCACGTGGTACAAAAAAAACAGATCTAAGGTTGCTCCAGTTCGTACGCTCCTTGATTTTCCGGCAGATTCTAATTACGTTAATTTTGTTTGAAGAGAGAATATTTATGTTTCTCAAACTGCTAACATCAACTTTATAATTATCTTATTAGTCCCCTACCGGTGAAACCGGAGGGGACTATAGGTTTCCTCTGAGTCTGTCCGTCCGTCTGTCTGTCCGTCTGTCTGTCTCTCTGTCTGTCCGTCTGTCTGTCTGTCTGTCTGTCCCTCTGTCTGTCTGTCAGTCTGTCCCACTTGGTTTTCCGCACTTTTTTTCCTAAACGCTTGCAGATATTGAGCTGATTTTTGGTATGTGAGTGTATCTTGATGAGTTACAGATCAAGTTTGCATTTTGTTCCGCTTCATTGATTTTTGACGGAATTACGACCTTTTCAATTTTTAGGGGTTTTCCGCAATTTTCTTCTAAACGCTTTCAGATATTGAGCTGTTCTTTGGTATGTGACTTTACCTTGATTAGTTATAGATCAAGTTTGCATTTCGTCCCGCTTCATTGATTTTTGACGGAATTTTGGCATTTTCAATTTTTAGCGGGAACCAGATTACACTTGCCGGTAGGGGACTAGTATTGCTAATGCAATACTCTCAGAATGCTTGTTTCTTAATGGCATATTGGGTAAATTTGAATGAAAAAGCACACGTTTTGCAGCCATACTGTCGCTTTAAGTATTTCATGCTAGGTTCATCACTCTTGTCAAGTGGTGTAAATGCATTTTCTCAGGATGAGTCATTAGAGGATAATCCTAATGTTTTACCTCCAAATTGCTTGATATTCTGTGTTATTGAAATTTCTTGAGGGTCCAAAGGTAAAAAAAAATGCACGGTTGTGGTTTCTGAGATTTTTTTCACTCCGGTATGGGTGTCGCCCGCGTGGCGCACTGGTTAGAGCGTTCACTCAAGAGTCGCGGAGTAAGGAGTTGATCCTTACGTCGCAGGTTCGAATTCCACTGTGGGACGTGGAGACTGCTCCTTCGAATGAGACCGTATAAACCGAGGTACCGTGTCGCAGTAGGTGCTGGCACGAAAAAGATCCCTCACTGCTCAATGGCCCTGAGTGCCGAGTATAGGTCAAAATTTGTAGCTCTCCACCGGCAAGTGGTGGCGTCTCCATATGAGTGAAAAAACTCTCTCGAGGTACGTTAAATAATAAGCAAACAAACAAAACAAGCAATCCGGTTTGGAGGTCGCTATTTTTTGGACGTATGTACAATCATTTACCGTTCCTTGGGATAAGGAAGAAAAAGATGTTTCGAAAATACTAATGTCCAAATTAGTGTATCTCACTTCCATTCTCAATGGCCGTGTAGTGTAGGGCGGCGCCGCAGAATTCCATAGGCATCGAAAGCATTTTTTCTTGCCTTTCTTGCCAAAGTGACCGAATGGCCGAGCGATCTAGCGAGCTGGTCCTGTACAGCTTTTCAACCCCGGATTCGGGCGGAAGTGAGTATCCTTATAAAGTGAATTTTTCCGTTATATATTATACGAACATTAATTTATTTTGAAAAAATAATGCAGACCGTGAAGAAAACAGTCACATCGTTGAGTACAATGTGTCTATCTTGAATGAGAATCAATAACAGTTACCCTATCAAACTAAATTTAAATAAAACCAGTGAATTAAAATTAAATTCTGCAATCATTTCAGATCGTTCAGGACGTGCACCAAGAGACAACGGGTGCGTATTACTCCGGAAATTACTCCTGAAGTTTTATGCTATAATTGTTTAATTAAGGGTCAATTTGGAGGTGATTTAAAAGAAATAGATCTATATTTTCTCTCAAAAATAAAAGTCGATTAAATGAACAGAACACATCAAAAATGGACCATTTAAATCATCTACATGTTCTCTTTATGAAGAAAATTACCCTGTTTACAGACTAATTAATCAATAGTCACTCTATGTCCGATTACAAATATTAAGATAAAGAGCTTCATCATGATTTTATATCATATAAAAAATCATTCTCAAAGTCCAACTATTGCAAAAAGGTCATGGCAAATGTGCAGTGTTCTTGGATTGTACAGAAAAGTCTTTTTTAGTACATTCAATTAAGCTTTTTAATATGAGCCAAGCCTTTGATCAAAAAAAAAAAAAAAAAAAAAAAAAAAATTAACAGTAACAGTTCAATCAATATTTAGTCATACATTTTTAGATTTGAAGTTGGAATTTATTCAAAATATCTGAAAACATGTTCTGATCATTTCGGAGGATTTATGAATTTGGAATAGTGCCGCAATTCATGATGTCAAAATACATAGAAAAGCAAAGCAAAGCAAACCAAAAAACACACACACACACACACACACACACACACACACACACACATTAATTAGCTTAATTCATGAATACATAAAACAATATCTGTTAAAATTGAACAATTATATAAAACTTTTTTTTTTCAGAATCTTACAGAGACAAATACGGTATGGTTCTTGGTGAACCTTGCTCTTGTTCATAATGTTCATGGATGCAATAAAATTGGACGTTTCAGAGGTAGGCCTACAGAAGATTATTTTACCCCTTCACTGATTTTGACTGGTTGCATAAAAAAGAAGATGGACGAACAAGGCGAGCAAATGGCCTATTGTGCTACAAATCAGGAAGTCAAATATTAAATCTCAATTATGACAAAATTTTCTTTGATATTTCATTGAACATTAACGTATAGTTCATGTAATATTTCTACAATTGGCAACAATCTTATAAAGATTGAAATTATTTGTCTAGCACAAACATCAAAGTGGTCAGATAGTATCATTTCATCATACTATAGCACAATTTTTTCTTTGCGAGTGGGTCTTCGCTCCATTTTTTAAAAAAGTTTATACTCAAAAATATACAATTGTTAGGTAACAAAAACATTGAGCAAAGACCACTTTATCTTTATACGCACTTTCATAACACAACATTCGACATCTTTCCGAGAAGTATTTGAAGTCCATATAATCAAGGGTCATATCATAAACATGATTTAACTGCTATCAGTTGTTATGAGCTGTATATCGTAGTGGTTAGTCTCGAAGAAAAAAAAAATATACTCAGGATTTTTATTGCTTGGGTTCGAACCCCAAGAATACCACACTTTTTTTAAAATCATAGAATGATTTTTTTTTTTCAAAAGAATTTTCCGCAGAAAAGTTTTGTTTGTCATAAATCCATTCCTTTCAATAATAAGAACTTTACTCTCAATTCTAAATTCACAAGTTGAGTATGACTTATTCATTTGAAGCGATAGGCATTTTACACACCTTAATTGTTCGCTTATCTCCTTTGATATGAAAAATACAAAAGGAAATGTAAAATATTACTGTGGATATTGACAAGATTCTACATGTAGCTGGTCGTCTGATCACTGCCTTTCCCTCGTTTTTTCCCCATGACACATGACATGATTATACTTTTATATACAGTGTACATACAGTGTTCATATATAGTGTAATATATGTAAAATTTATGTACTGAGAAATGACCGCTTTATTAGTTGGTCATGGTTATATAGATATAAACTTACATAGTTTAAACTGCCGACTTCACCTGCTGGTGCGAAATACGCGGGTTGTCCTGATTGGTCACATATCAAGGTCACGTCCACATTTCTGTTAAAAAAAATCATATCAAGTTTTTAAAACAAAGCATAGTGAGGGTTGATTTTTCCAAAATGTCTAAGACAATTTGTAATTTTTGTTTACTTTATTTAAAGATATACATGTAAGTGATTACTACTAGAAACACATTGATTATTGCGGGCGATACCAGTTACTACTAGCCTTATACTATTGTAACATCTGATTGTATAAATTGTAAGTTTAGTTTTCCTAGTATCGATCGGTACCACTACAGGTATATGTGGACGGTATAATTTTTTTTCTGATTTGTAGCAGTATTTACTATCTCAATGATCAGGCCCGTTGTACGCGAAGGGGGGGGGGCACTTTTCTGAGAATAGGCTTTTGCTCAGTGAAGTTTTACTATGTAAATTTTGATTTGGATGCCCCCTCCTCCCACTTTTTGTTGTGGTCATACAGTACAATGAATACAGGATAATTCTAGTATTTTAGTATTTGAAAGAAAAAATGTACCTAGAAGTTAGTGGAACACCCCCCTTCTTTTTGCTTGTCAGCTTTTTTTTTCTAGGAAGCACCCCCCCCCTCCCCATTTTAAAGTGAACGTTGCTACGGGTCTGATGATAAAATTCTATGATGACATATCAGTTATAATTCTGTAGTAATTACATTTTACTACTACATTATGTATCTGATTACTGCATAACTGTAGCTCTCCGATGTTCGACAGAACTTTACGAAATTGACCAGTTTAAAGCGCAATGCGGGTAAACGAAATTTACAGCATGGAAGCCTGCACAAGATATGTCAAAAAAGTAACAAAGGTTATAACAAAACATTTATTGGCTGGTTTCGAGGGCAAAATGCGTTTTGCTGACCCCTCGAACCAAACTGATTGCCTTCGGCCTAACGGCCTCAGGCAAAGAGTTTGCTTCTTAGGTCCGACAAAACGCATGTTGCCCTCAACGCAGTCAAATAAATGTACAGTACTGACAGTCAATATATACAATGTATGTAGCAACAGTATGAAGTGCACCTTGTGAGTCCGGTTGAATCTGTGGAGGAATATAGAAAATGGACATTGGTTCCATCAAAACTATAAGATGTGCTGGTGGCATCCCCGAGCTGATACTGGGCAGACTGGTCCCCACTTATTTGACATGCCTTTGAAAAATTTCACATATATGTATATCATTTATAGCAATTACTACATCATGCAGATCTCAAGATGAACATAATATGATAATTATACTTGTTCTTTTTATACTGTTTATATAAGAATGAGAAAGGAAATCGGGTATATTTTAGGTTGACTTACAGCAGCGTTTATACAGGAACCTTCGATGAATGAGTAGCATGGATTATATGAATAGAAATAGCCATCGGAGGCAAAACTGTCCGCGAACCTGAAAAACAAAGCAATGTTAGAAAAACAGCATAAGCATCGGAAGCAAAATGAAAGAGGGGGGGGGGAAATTGAAAAAAAAAATCAAACCTGACTTGACAAGCAAAAACAAAAAGGGGGGGGGGGGGATTAAACATTTTCCAAACCCGAAAACCCTATTTCGTGGGGGGGGGGGGGGGGTGCGATCGAACCTCTTTCAGTACCATTTTTTTTTCAAACGCTACCACTGACCTTCCTTTGATTACAATGCAATGTGCCTGTTGAAGGGGGTGGGGGGGGGGGGCTAAACCTACACCCCAGTGCTCAATGCCTATATTATGTCTATCTTTGCAAAAGAAGTGGGGGGGGGGGATAAGGCTTCCCCGGTTCCGACGCCTATGAACAGAAAGAGGAAGGGATGGGGATAGGGGTTACACCATGTCTGATATATATATATATATATATATATATATATATATATATATATATATATATATATATATATATATATATATATCGTTCTCTTTTTATTACATGTACTTTAATCGGTAGGAGCAAATATATATAAAATTTAGAACATTGTCATATTCTTAATTTTGTACTACTCCCACACGTAAAGATTAATCTAATTAAGAACATGACAAATATATCGTAATAATAGAATGTTGAAGAGGAATTCTAAATCGCTAGATGTACATGCATTTTCACGGTGATTAACATACATGTATTTATATTGTCTCTTCAATAACTCTATGTAAAATAAATTTTGTTATAAAGACAGAGTCCGTGACCAGAACCTCGGGCTTAAATCTATACTGGTTACACCATTCCCAGCTGCTGGGTATTCCAAATATACATGTACATTTAGATTTATCTTTTTATTATTTATCTACTTATTTATTTTTGTTCGAAGAAAACTGGGTATCTCCTCCATTTCCAATTAATTTATATATTCGGTACTTATTTTTAGGTTAGGACATTTGATTATAATATATTCTTGATATAAAGATAAGTTTATTTCTAATTTTGGGCCCAGAGGGCATACTAGCAAAGACGGTTTATAAAGAAAGAAAGTTCTAAAAAGACTGTAACATTAACTATAAACTATACACCCAGGTAGCACAAAACATTTTCAAAACATTTTATTGCAGTTATCAAAACATTTCAGAGTAAACATTTTTAAAATGTTTTAAAAACATTTTTCTTTCCCATTGTAACATTTTAAAAACATTTTTAAAATGTTTTCAAAAATGGTAAAGTAAAATCTTTAAGGAACATTTTTAAAAAATGTTTTTGAAACTTTTTAAAAATGATTCCAAAGGTATGTCTTGTTTGAATATATTAAACAGTTTCATATTAAGTTATAAAAATGTTTTTAAAACATGAAATAAAACATTCTATATATATGAAACATAGACGGTAATGTTACGTTTCTAAAACATTTCGAAGGAACGTTGTCAAAATGTTTTTAAAACATTCTTAATATTGCTTATAGTTTAATGTTTAAATGTTTTCAGTGTTGGTCGTGAAAATGTTTTTAAAACATTGAATAAAACGTTTTCTCCTCCTACAACTGAAACATTATAATTCATGCAACATTCTATAGTTCTAAACATTTTCAAAACGTTTTTAAAACATTTATATCATTGTTAATATTAATGCATTGTTTATTTTCAAAGTATGTTGTAAAAATGTTTTTAGAACATTGACTATAACGTTTATCCTTTTAAAGACTAAAACATTTTATTTAGCATTGATGCAATATTTTGTAATGTTTTAAAAATTTTCAATCTTTCCCGAGAAAGTTTCTGAAAAAATATATAGAATATCCAGAGAGGATTGAGATTTAATGAAGAATTGTTTTAAAAATGTTCCGAAAACATTATCCCTATATTTTTCTTTCTTTTTTTTTTCAAAAATTCTTATTGAGTTGTCAGACATGTTATCAATACAAAGTTCACTGAATTAACTAAAGATACTTAATTTAAAAAAAGAAAACAAAATAATATTAAGCAAACTGTTTACAATGATTAAGACAGCCTAATTTTTAACGATCTCGTTTGTTTGCATCATATTTCCTAAACGCCAAGGAAGCAGATTAGGAGTGGCCTCACTGGTCAGTTTCAGTGTCATGATAACCTTGTTATGCAATTCTCCTGCTGGGCAGCGCGTGAGAGTGTTTAGTGGATTGCAGCCTATCTAGGCCAAACTTTGAATTCTGGTAAACAGGGTGTGCGCGTTTTCTTGTTGCTGATTTTCAAACAAGATTTTTGCATCATATAAGCCAGAGGAATTAGCGCTGGATTATTAACACCTGCCTTGTGAGTATAATGTCATCAGAGATTTCAAAAGATAATTTTTAGAAGTGACTTTTCTGTTACCATGGTTACCAGTGCATCATTGTACTTTTGTATGCATATTATGTGTAGCAAAAACAAAGCTACTATGCATTTTAATTGAATACTTTAGGCAACAACAAATATACCTCCTTGTCTTATGTTGATCACAATTCAATATATCTTAATATTGAAACATGAAATCATGTCGCAGTTAGATGACAGTTCCATCAACACAGACTTGAATTTCATTCAAATTGCCACATTTGAAAGAACCGCCACTAGCTGATAAAGGCAGTTTTTTGGTACGTAAATATCATTGCTCTTTAATATATTATTGTGTTTTAGTTATGAACATGCAGCAACTCAAATTCCTTTTCATTAATGTAAATGGGAAAATTTCATGTGATTTTAAGATTTAAAAAATGTTCATGTATATTTTCATCATTTAAAGATCTGATGTAGACGGGTGACTTAAACACTGTTGTCTCCTGCTTTACAGAAAAGAGCTTCTTGATCAACTCTTTCCGAGGACAGCATTCTTGTGAACTTTATCAATGTGTGCGATTACATTTACATGTATATATTTAATAGATCCGCCGCTCGATCTGTGGAACCTACCCAAGTAGATGTAGATCTATACATGCTTTTTGCGGGATTGTAAATGATAACACTGATCTAGACCTGTTTATTCTTTTTCGTGGGAAGGATTTATGTGATTCTGTTGTTTTTAAATTCAGAGAATGGATTTTTTCCCTTTAAAAATACCTGTTGGGTTAAAACAGAATAACTCAGAACTTGTACCGGAATTTTTTTCATATTAAAATTTGTAAAAAGTGAATTCATTCAGTTGTGATTAATTCTTTGGGAGTTATAATTAATATGAAATGTATGAAAAGACCTTTTAAAGTCAAAATGATGTTGATATCATTTAATGAAAACGTAAAGTGACATTTCAGGAAAGAAATGTCATTTGGGTAAAATGTTTTTAAAAAGTTTTAAAAACCATACAGAATCACGTGAATAAAACATTTTCGAAAATGTTTTAGTAGCATTTAAGGAAAATGTTCTGATAACATTTGCTGAAATATTTTGCTAAAATGTTTGCTGAAACATTTTGCTAAAATGTTTTAAAAACGTTTTAAAAAAAACATACAAAATCACGTGATTAAAACATTTTTTAAAAAAGATTTCGCAACATTTTAATAAAATGTTCCAAGAACATTTGCTGAAACATTGTGCTAAAATGTTTTAAAAACATTCAAAAAACCATACAAAATCACGTGGTTATAACATTTTTGAAAATGTTTTTATGACATCACCTCTTTTTCTGAAAGTTTTTACTAGATATTCACTCAATGTGATAATTACTAGTTTGTCTTCGTTAATTATCAACCAAATATATTTATCCTTATTTGTTAAATAGAAAAAGTTCTTGTTGAGCTTGGATATATCATTAAAAACAAATGTTTCTCTTCTTTGGAATGAACAATCAGTAAAGAAAATGTAATATATTTTCTTTACAATTTGTTACATAAATCATATTTTTTTTTTTAATTTCTCGAGGAATTTTCTGACTAGTATTATTTTTTACCAATTCATATCTTCCTCTTTCAACTCTTATGTCATGTGCATTTATTATGAATCTACACGGAGTTTTTCTTAATTCTAGAAACTTTATGAACATGTACTTTTCCAAAGATCATGATGCATCTTTCAGTTAAGAGAAAAGTTAACTCAACATGTTGAATCAGTTGTTCCTAAAAACAATCTGGGCCCATATTCAACATTTCATTATACATGTAACAGCTGCTCTTGACCTCTACGATTGTTAATGAACCATATTTACATCATGGACTGTACATAGCCTACAACAGTTTGGTCTTGTGCATGTTCAAAGTTGTGACGGAATTTTCAGAATTTCAATCTCTTTTATATGGATATTACCAACATGAAACATACACTGTACTAAGGGTTTCATCCAAATAAGGGTTGCAAGGATATAGCGCGAACTAGCACTTCTAATGACAAACAGACAGACAGACAACCGCAATGTTCATATATGTATCGTCGTACGCATACAATTACGACACTAGCTGTCTGATGGTAGATAGCATGTATAGTGTATGTAATATGAATACTAGTAGTCAGCAGTTTCGATCGTCCGAACACCTGTCGAAAGTTCAAAGGGTGCGGGGTTGGAGTCGACACCTGGTCTGATCGTTCAATTTTCTTCCATTTAGTTACTATTACACACACATACCCGGCGTACCGGTACCCACTCTATATAAGTTTAATCTCTACTTACATATATATATATATATATGTATCACACGCTTCATCATTTTAAGAATGCATAGGTGGAATAAAGGGTGTGGGCGATACATATACAAATACTTACGCCGGGGTTTGGTCTTGATTGCCTAAAGACGACAAATCTATGAGGCTCCCGTCATCCATAGTACACGAACACTGATCACGATACGTACAGGATTGTCCAAAAGTTACAGCAACATGGGACGATACCAAAATTACGAAAGTGGACAGCAGTTTTAATAATTCCATATTTTTAAAGTTAAGTAACTAAAATCACTTATTCCTTGTTGTAATTAAGATATTAGTAATTGAACTATATATCAGATACTCATAATGTGATTATCATGGGTACAGCGTCACGTGAATTGTATATCCAGGTAGGAAAATATTTTGTTATCTGGCATTTTATCAATTGACCATGAATTAAATTGTAAATATATACGAATAAGTAGTTACTCGAACTTTTTGTGAGTTCCGGGTATATTACCAGTTGTAGTATAGATGTTCTGTGAGTGGAGTTGTACAGTACAATATATATAATGCCATTTTTTGCTGAGGACGAACTGGGACAAGTACAAATGCACCTAGAAAATTAAACTTATGATCTAAAGCTATGATGTCAAATGCTCCTCGTATCGCATTGCACATTATCTTATCGTTTACATATAGCGATATGTAAATCCTCTAAATATTGACTTTTTAAAGTATAAATATTCTAATTTTTTATAAGCATGATCTCTCTCTCGATCTCTCTCTTTAATTTTATGTTGTGATAATAAATAGTAACCCTTTCTATTCTCCGTGTTAAAATTTCTTCATATCGTGATGACATACATGTATATAAAAATCATTTCTGAAAAAAAAAATAAATAAATAAAATAATAAGCAGCGCTTTATACCTCATACTGTTTTCCATTTGAAGCTGATTCTATAGCTCTTAATGAAAAACAATGTTGGGAAGTTTAAAAAATAATAGTGAAATTTAGAGCAGAGAGCCATTAGTCCTTAGGTTTATTAATTGGTGACGTAAAACGTAGAATAAATATCAGCACGCCTAATGTTGTATACATGTGTATATTTTATTGATAAAGACAACTCATTAGATATTTTCTTCATGTACTTATAATGATTTAGGCATTGTTTAAATATTTTTTTTGTCTTGTTGAAAATCTGTAATTGAAATTTAATTGTTTTGTTTGATCTTAAGAAAGAGCATTACCGCACGTGTTTGTAATTTCTCATCTTGACATCTCTCTCTCTCCCGTCCCACGGTATCGATGCCATTCGCTTATAATTGTTATCAGATTTATGGTCAGATCTGAGACCAATGTTTCTTTGAATTTGTTATGCTTACTCACACTGTTTCCTGTTCTGTAAATTAATGCCATTGAGCTTTCCCCTAATTTTACCACTGTCTTAAAAATTGTTTGATTGGTTCATCTATGAAAAGTGGGTGGAGTTGTCAAGGATGAGACGTGCGTGAGTTTGTCTGTAAGGACACTCTCTTAAAAACCTTTGTGTAAAAATGCAGTTTTGTTTTGTACTTTTGGACTTCAATAAATTCTAAACTTTAATCAGGAATTATTATGTTCAAAGCAACGTAAACATTACACTAAATTACAAAAATAACAACATGATCTAGATTAAGTTTTTACTCCCATCCAAAAAATTCAACACTACGCCTGAGAGAAATGTCAAAATTCAGAACATGATCTAAATTTTGTTTTTACTCTTTATATATATATATATATATATATATATATATATATATATATATATATATATATATGTATATATATATATATATATATATATATATATATATATATATATAGAAAGCACAAACAAGAAATTCACTTTTATAAGGATACCCACTTCCGCCCCAGCCCGGGGTTGAACTCTCGACCTACGGAATCTGTGTCCTAGCAGTACAAGAACAGCGAGCTAGATCGCTCGACCATCTAGGCAAGAAAAAAAAAACTTGCTTTCGATATCGATGAAATTCCCGCGGCGCCGCCCTACACTACAACGGTCATTGAGAATGGAAGTGAGATACAGTAATTTGGAAATTAGTTTTTATCAGAGGATCGTTACCGATACACATTGTATTGAAATTTAATTTTATTTATAAAGCACATTTTACAACAACTCTTTAACTAACATAACTGCCCTAAGTGAAGTAAAGTGCACTGCAGCTGACCAGAATCTGATTACATGTAGCTAATCAGCGAAAGGAAACAGATACTGTCAAACTGATTCAAACTGATTAAGACGGAACTTCTTTATGGAAGATTAAACGTCATTTCAAATTTTCGGAAATACTGAACTACATGTATACTACACAAATTCTAATGGTTTCTGGATTATATGTAAACTGTACATGTATATAATGTTAATAAAATAATGCAAAATTATGATTATTATTTAAAATAAATACTTTGGAGTTTTGTCATTAATTTGATCGTGCTTTTGAGAATCATATGAGGTATTCAATAAAAAGCAGAAATCAGGGAAATTCTTGAAAGTTTAATGCTTGATCAGCACTTCGAACCGTGATGACTTCACAGCAAACAAATCACATAAGTTAATTTTTTCACTCAATGATCAAAGCAATCTTGCAATGAATTACATTCAATTAGCATTGAACATAAAGTTTCATGATATTTTCAGAAATACAAGAATTCTAGTAAACTAGCATGTATGAAAAAAGAAAAAAAAATCAACTCCAAGACAAGCTTTTTCTTCAAATTTCAGTAAAAAAAAAAAGGTCAGTAATGTCCATTATGTATACCATAACATAAAGCATTGTATGTGATTTATATTCATGAAAGTAAAATGCACTGCTCGCGAGCGTTTTTGAACACCGTACACTTTTACATTTATACGCTGTACCAAGTTTCAGAAGGTTTTGATTTCCATTTCATTGTTTATACAATCCGAAAACTTTTGACTATTATGCCCCTGAATATGAAAGATTCCTTCCCGTCCATATATTTAACCTGCTTCTATAGTGTATAGTGTCTCTTAAAAACACCGTAAAACACTACGGATTACTTGGGATCTTGGTGACTATATCGTTTTCCAATTTAAAATTAAATTAGAAGGATTAAGTTATCAAGAACATCCGACTAAAAAACAATAAGCAGACTATGCATACATGTATGTATTGGAGGGGCGGCGGGAGGGGGTGGTCGACTATACATGTATCTTTCATTATATTTTATTTGACGTGTCAGAAATTGACCCTTCGCGAGTCCTGATACGTTCCAAAAATAAACCAAACTTGCATACCCTACATGGCTTTAATGCAATTTTATGTAGTACACATAATTGAAAGTTTTGGTAGTGTTTTTTACTAATTTTTATATTCAAATGATTAAAAAACAGAAGAATCTTGACTTTTCTTAATCAAATAATTCATTTCATGCAATAATTTTTTTTCTAGAATAAAGAGTTAATAGAAATCTAACATTAATTAAAAACTAATGATTGATGTGTTTTCAAAACGCGTTGTTCTTACAAAGGGGGGTAATGCAATGGAAAAATAAAATCTATCAATGCTTGATCATTGGTCAGGGCATAGACGTATACTGTATTTATTTCAGGATAAAGGTAGTGTTATTATAGTAAACAATCCAGAAATGCCAATCGTACATGTATGAGAAATTCCTTATAATCATTCATAAATCTTGATGTCAAACCTGCTGATAAAATAAGAAAAGGTATTTAAAGAGGTCCATTGAGAAAGAAATATCAAAAAATATAACAAATAGAACAATTTTCTTAATCCTGATTAATTGGAACACATATGGCTGCACAAAAATTAAATACAATACGTTGAAATAACAGTCGTGAGTGCAATGTCATAATTTCCTCGTTTCTATTTTTTCTTCATTCAAGTTACATGTAATATAAACAGAGAGACTTTCAAAAAAGCCTGGATATTAAAAAAAAAATATTATAAGAAATCATTATTTAAGCATTATGAATTTGACGAAATATGCGCTCATTTTGAAGCAATAAATTATATTTTGCAACAATTATGGCTAAGGTCACATTTTAGAATATTGAGGTAATCTTTTCATCACTATCCGTTGGTTTGGACAATGCTGGTGTGTGACGGTACATACATACATACATACATACATACATACATATATATATATATATATATATATATATATATATATATATATATATATATATATATATATATATATATATATATATATATATATATATATATATATATATATATATATATACAGTGGACCTTCAGATATCCGGACGCCAGATATCCGGACGCTTCAGTTTCCGGACGATTTTTAATGGGAACGAAATTTTTTAACGTTATTTTGTCTCGTTTAACCGGAATTCCGCGTTCCGTATCCGGACGGTCTTTTTTCACCACAAAATGAATTTTTACGTTATATTTTGGTTCATTTATCCGCACGATAATTTTTTAACTGGTCTGTCAAGTCTGCTCAAATTTCTTGATCTGGGTGTTAATTGTTGTAAAAACACTGGTCTGGCCGTTGGTTGTTAAAGATGATCACCTGCGACCTGTTATCAATGGCTTGCGGCAAGGTTAATTGTAGGTCGATAGGTACGCACGAGACTCTCGCTTCTCTAACATGGTTTTGATACGTATTGATTAAGAAAAATAATTTTATAAGTCTAGGATAGTTTTTTCGTAGTCGGCAAATGTTAGAATACAGTCGTAACATGGTATTATGTATATTTATAGACATGACATCGGAGTTTTTATGCACAGTACTTTGTGCGCGAAACGCATGCTTTTATAAAATCACTTTCAAAATTACACAATCGTTAATCAGTCTGGTCGAACCCCCGAACGGGGGTATACCCCCAAACGAGGGTTTTCCGTCCCGTCATGCAATGCGCAAGAACAGTAACTCTTGCCGTATCCAATATAAACAAACTTGCCTACACTGTAAAAAATAAGTGTTTTAAAAATAAACACCAAATTGCCACAGATAATAAACACTTTAACACGTTTAAAATTTAAACACTTCGTGAAGTGTTTAAGAAATAAACACGTTAGAATGTTTAAATTCTAAACACATGAGGTTTAATGTTTAAATACTTCCTTCTAATTCTGTTTAAATACTAAACACTTCAAAAACACAAAACGTTTAAAGATTAAACACTGAATAAACACAAAGAGTTTACTAAATAAACACCGTACGTGTTTAAAATTTAAACATTTCATGTTTTATTAATAAACAC